CTCCTAATGTGATTATGAATGCGTGAAATGTTATAGCAATCCATAATAGTTGTTGAAGTATTTCCTTCTTAAAACACCACTACAAGTATTAACCTCAGGACAATGCAAGGATAAATAAAAAGTTAAAAGATGACCAATCAGTTGTCAGAATGTGATCATGATCTTACACAAAGTGATGGACTGAACCAGAATTGCCAACTTGTGATTTATTGCTAAAATAGTGAGTCTTTATTTTTGCAGCAATTTGCAATTATTAAAAAAAAAGAAATAAAAAAAGCTGTATGTCACCAGTAGAAGGCATCTAGATAAAAAAAAGCTAACATCACATGATGACCTTTCGACTGTCAACACCAGAGTGCACAGACAGTGACATTGTTATTCCAGCTGAGTTGTGTACTTTAACTGTCATGCGTTCACCTCTTCACAGACCTGCAACCTGCTCTAAACCGGACTCTGTCGCTATCTGATGTAAGTCGCCGCTCAATGTGAGTCACGCACGCGCAAGTGTAACTGTTTTGTGGTATTTCGAGGACTGCGTTGGTATTTGGATCCCGCGGAAAAATAAACTGCAGGTCGCTGAATTAATCGTTAACCAGAAACATGGAGTCAACAAATGGTGTTGAAAAAAATTACTAAAAGCAAAACAAGGCAAGTCCGACATTTGGACAAATTTCCCAGTTGTTGCTGACAGAGTTGGACCTCACTGCACAAAATGTGACAGCTATTGATCGACTATGCGATGGTCAGAATAAGTTCTAAAGCCCTTCCTCCGGCACATATTAAACAAGATATTGAGAAATGTATGAAATGTCAGAAGTCCAGCGGCTGGAGCAGGAATAAGCAAACAATCATTCACAGAGCTCTAGTTTATGGTATGTAAGGGCTGGGAACAAACTGTGAGTGGAATAAGTTTAGTGCTGCTTTGAATCCTCACAGCAGGTATAACTTACAACAGTAAAGAATGCGTTATGCGGTACATATCCACTAAATCAACACATAAAGTCGTCTGCTCTGTCGACAGCCTAAATGTTTCAGTCACTTTGTTGAGCTCAGTTGAATAGAGTCGTCGACCTATTCAACTGCTCTGATTGCGCTGACCTCTGAAGAGTTCTACCCAATATGAGTCGTCTCACGCACCCTTTCACAACATTTTGTTTCGCTCGCTATTCCCAGACTCGCATTGGATAGTGACACGCTCTCCAGCCTCACTTTGATTCGTCCAACTGGGACTAACTGGATGAGACGCCCAATAAGATCAATAGCAATTCTCGCAAATATCAGCACATCTCCTCATGTGAAGCGTCCTTGGTGGATAAATAGGACTGAAAGTGCTGGAGATAAAAGTGCAATCACATATTGACTAATTCCTCACAGGCGCCTCTGTCTTTGTTTCTGTGGCATTTCATCATCTTGGAGATCTTTCTGCCTTTAATGTCTGAAGACTGAGAGAGAGAGAAAAGGGACTCTCATTGACTACATGGGAGTCCTTTCAAATAAGATGCAACATCAGAATGGTAATGTTTTTGGAAGGATAAAACATGCAATATGTCAGCAGGATACAGTCCCCATGTTTATCGCCAACAGGCACCAAGTGTTTTGCTGGAGAAGGTCCTTCTTTACTTACTCCATCTTGCTGCAGTCATGTAGCATCTGCAAATATTTCGTAATATTTGTCTTATTCTGCTCACAGTAGCAAATATGTACAGGAGGTCAAGCACATATTATCAAGTAAGCTGTCTTCTTAAGTACTTTATGCTTTCTGGTTTCTGCTGTTGAACTTTCTGGTATCCACTCATCATTTATCAGTGTGGTATGCTAACATTCTTACAACAACAACGCTAACATAGTGATGTTTTGCAGGTTTAAGTTATAGCAGGTGATTTGGAGGTGATAGTGAATAAAGCTAAGTTTAGCCTATTAGCATGCTAACTAGTTAGATAACAGCATTAGCGTATTAGTACTAAACTAGGAATGCAGAGTTTAAACAGTTTTCTTAACGATAGTGACCACGTTGTTAATCAATAATCAATTCATTGTTAAAATTAATTAAGTACAGTCGACATTTCTTCATATGCTGATGAAGTTATTTGAAGTCATTCGCTGTTAAAGCAGCTCCGTTATATCAGCCACCTGATCATAGGAATGCTGTCCTATGTTAACTACGGTGTATCTTCAGACATGTGCGCTGACTGGAAGCCATAACCATCACCATCGTCTCTGTCATGGTGGCCCACCATGTAGCGAAACTCCCACAATGCCCTCTTAAGCTGTGTCCCAATTCAGAGGCTGCGTCCTTCGAAGGCTGCATTTGAAGGTCGAATGCGTCACAGCGGGGTGACGAAGACTGTCCCATTTCATTAAGACATGAAGACTCCTTCAAACGTGGCCAACAAATGCATACTTCTTTTCTTGGCTGCTAAGGATGCATCATGTGGATCCTTTGCAGTCCATCATATTCCAAGTTCGATTGCGCTGGACTGCTGGAGTTTTAACTGCCCACAAGTGACTGAAAAGATGGATTCATCAGCAGCTGAGGATGATACTTTTGATGTAGTGGCTAGCTCCAATAGCTAACTGTACATTATGCTATAACCAAAAAATGGGTTAAGTTCCGTTACGTTACTGATGTGAGCTGCTGCAATTTAAAACGTTAACTTTCTAGTTATGCACCTTCAGAGTTTGAGTCATGTTTTACCGAAATTATGGTGATTTTGTGATATTTAAGTTCATATTAGTGTGAATGTTAACAAATATAAACAAGCTGAGAACTCTTCTTTTTTCTTTTTTAGACAGTTTAGTCCAGTAAAACGGTACAGTACAGGCACCTCAAATTCTTCAGGTATATAAAAAATAATTCAAAAATAAATAAAATCACCATTTCGTCATCCATTTTAGTCAAAAACTTTGGTAAAATTGCAATGTTGTCTTATTCTTATCCTCGGGATAAAAAAGCGGCAGTCTGGGTTGCTAGACAACAAGAGCGGTGCTACATGACATGATGATGCAAGCAAGATATCGCAGACCGTCTCATTTTGCAAATACTCAGATGCAGCCTTCGTGTCCTTCGAAGGACCGATACTTAGAAGGACGCGAAGGCTCATCCTCCTTTTGCTATCTTTGAATTACCGTTTTCTTCACTACGGGAAACAATATCCTTTGGCCAGCAAACTACTACACTGAAAATGTCAAGTTTTGCAGAGGATCGTAAGGCAGCTCTGCAAATTTTTGTTTGGTGAATTACCTGTTATAATTATTGTGCTTGTTTGCATGCATATGTTTGACCAAAACAATTCCACTGAGCAGCATCCTTTGCTTAGCACCCCCCGCGACGATTGCGATTGTTTTAAAGCGATTCAAACAAAAAGTGTTTTTTCTCTAAAGCAGAATAATAAGTGTGATGCAACCAGAACATTATGCTCCACAGAATGAGCTGGTAAAAAGAGATTCATGTTTTCTGCTTTCCAACATGAAAATGACCATAATCTGAGTGACAACCTCCTGCTGTCGCTATGCAGGAGGTCGTCACTCAGAGACTCCACCTTGTGGTGCAACCAGGTACTACAATTCACTTGTTGCAGTTAATTATTAACATCACTACACTAAAACTAAATACAGCTGAGGCTGATGGGGATGTCATTAGTTTTGCAGGATTTATTAGGCAGGTATTATGTCAACAAATTAGACGTTTGACCTGAGAGTGATGGTTGATAAAAAGCCAAGGGATCTTCCAACCTAATAAAATTCATTTGGAGGGATATAATAATGTACAATGAGATTTTCATACCAATTCATGTCATACTTGTTGAAACATTGCACCTGAAACCACAAAACTATTTAACTGTGGTGGCAAAGACAGTTTGGCAATCACCAAAAATAATTAGAACTCATTGTCTGGAAACACAAAAGTTTCCTGGCAATCCACAGAGTAGCTGAGCTGTTTCATCCTGGAGTTGGGCCAACTTTATTTACTATAACTGCAAGTCGAATCGTTTGGACTGTTGCTTTGATTTAATAAGCAGTTCCACACTATCACTGTTGGGTCTTTTTGCCACATTTTATAGACTACACAATAAAGCAAAAACTGACAGAATAATTGCTACTAAAAACAGCTCACAACATTGTCCTGAGCTTCCACACAGCATGCACACGAGGCAAGTTAAAACAAACCCTAAAAGTAAATTGGAAACACAATTTGACCCAGTGGTGCACTTGTTTGTCCGTCTCTCCGTCTGCATGTGTGTGAGTCCTGAACGTATTTATAGAGTGAACTATCCTTGTGGTTATGCGCTTCCAGGGATATGCGCACAAAAAAAGCCTCCCACCATGAACAGGCACACACTCAAAAAGCCGACTGTCATTTCTCATATGTTGTCCCTGTCCATCTGCAGCTCCGGTCCTTTTATTTAGCTTCACCGCCTTGCTGCCTATAACTCAGCTTGATAAATCTCTCCTCGGTCACACACATAAAGAAACGATGAATGGCCGAGTGGGGAGGAGGGCAAATGCGAGAGGACACACTTGTGTATTTTTATGTATGCTTGTCTATAAATGCCCAATGCATTGACATTCATCCTTCTCCTTTGCTTTTTGTTGTGCGTTTGTCGAGTGTGTGGGAGGGTAAAGGACACTTCAGATCTCTCACAGTTGAGAATAAAGAAGTCTTTGTAACCTTCAGTCTCTCTGGACCTCGGTTTTAAAAACACATATCACGGGGCTTCCTATTCACAGCCACCAAGGCTGCAACACACACAAACACTGTCGCCACACAACTCCGGAAAAAAACAATCCCAAACCAGTAACACACACTTCAGCAAATGTTCTTCCAGCGAATCGAACGGAATCATCTCACCGTGCATCTCATCAGATCAACGGGCGAGATTTAAATCTTGTAAAATCAATGCTGTGAGCAACTTACACTACGTAATTAACATCAGTGGATGTGAGAGGCAGAAAAGCGTGAAAGAGGAAAAAGAAATAGAAGATAGATATGCAGTACTCACCATCCTCTTTGCATTCCTCGGGCGGCTTCGCCTTCTTGGCTAGCCTCGGGTCCAGCCACGATGTTGTCTTAGTGTTGTGGCTGTGAAGAAGAGACAGAGAGAGTGTGAGAGGGAGTGTGATAGATAGCGAGAGAGAGGAGACTTGGCACAAAGAGAGAAGGAGGTGGTGGATTCTTAATTCAGCCAGAGAACCATTTCAGACACGAAAGATGAGACTCCCTCGTGTGCCTGCCTCCGAAAAGGTGACAAGAGAGACGAAAAAAAAGAAAAAGAAAAAAAAAAAAAAAACGCTTTCGGTTAACAAAACTGGCGATCGATACTTTTAATTTGCTCACTGTCTCTCATTAGCGGGCAGGAGAGAGGAGGGGAAGGGGCAGGAAAGGATAGAGGGGTGACTGAGGGGAGTGATGGAGAGGAACAGCTGTGGGCTTGGCAGATTCCTCCAGAGCCTCCAGGCACAGAGCTGGATCTAGATCAGATATGATGATGTGCCAGGGAAACTCGATGCATCTACACGGCCCGTCTGAAGCTCTGGAGCTACAATGGCCTCCCTTCATGATGACGGAGCAACAGTAGGGAGGAGAAGGAGGGGGGGGAGGTGTAGAAAGTGCCTACAGTAAAAGAAAAAAGAAAATTACCGAGGTGAGAAGATAACGGAAGAGGATGGAGCAAAAAGGCCTCCTTGTGTCTGTTTCTTTTTTCAACTTTTCCCAAAAGGAAGTTGGGCGTCCAACACATGTGGACGGCCAAAAAGAATATTTCTGTGGTGAACATAAAAATACAAGGATGTTAAAGTTATTTAAATTGATTTTGTTTGGCTTCCTAGGAGCAGTACAACAAACTGAAAACCACTGAGGTCGTGTTTCTGTCAGATAGTTAATTTAAGTGCATTGTTTTCTCCCCTTTAGCTTTGATCTGGTCTTTACTAACTCCTGAGTAAAATATCTGGCTCATTAGCTACCAGCTTGTTGCTAACTCTGCCAGCTTGCCATTTGGAGCTGGACAATTAGAATTGGCTGATAAGAGCTTTTAGCTGAAAACAGCTGCCTGCTACGGCTGTAAAAGAGACAGAAGAGAGCGGGATGTGCAGACCGTGAAACCAAAACCATCAGCTAAAACAGGCGAAAAACCTGTAGCCGTTTACTAATCCACAAATTTGTGCAATTTTATGTGTGCAAAAACTGGAAATCTAAGCGTGCACTGCAAGCAGCACAATATTCAGGTCAGCTCAATTCAGTTTTATTAGCACAGCACCAATTCACAACGTCAGTCATCTCAGGGCACTTCAAAGGGAGGCGAAGACCTTCCAGCATTATATTATAAAAGAGAAACCCAACAAATTCGACGGTTCCTTTTGAGCAAGCACTTTGGTGACAGAGCCAAAGCCGGACTGACAGTTATGCTGCTACAGGCCGAGACTGCTGCTGCTGGAGGACTTCCCACGGTGCACCGAGACCCTTTCCTCCGCTTTCATTCACCCTCTGAGCATTTATTGGAGAAAAAACTGGCATTGCAATATATTGTTTTCTGCAATATATACCGCAATGTGAAAAAAAAAACAATCTGGTACTTTCAACTTTATTTGGAAAGAATGAATCATTCTAGAATGATTGGGATTGTTGAGGAGTGCATCTGCATAGAAAATAAAATATATATATCTTATACAACTTGAATTATTTCTTTATTTTTACTGCAAGGTGGCACGGTGGTCAGCATTGTTGCCTCGCAGCAAGAAGGTTGCTGGTTCGCTTCCCGGTGAGGACACCCAGGATCTTTCTGTGTGGAGTTTGCATGTTCTCCCCGTGCAGCGTGGGTTCTCTCCGGGTTCTCCAGCTTCCTCCCACAAGGTCCAGAAACATGTTGAAGTTAATTGGTGATTCTGAGTTGTCTGTAGGTGTGAATGTGAGTGTGCTTGGTTGTCTGTCTCTAAGTGTGGCCCTGTGATAGACTGGTGACCTGTCCAGGGTGTCCCCTGCCTTCACCCTAAATCAGCTGGGATAGACTCCAGCCCCCCATGACCCTACTGAGGATTAAGCGGTGTACAGATAATGGATGGATGAATGGGACTTGCTTTTGAGTGCAAACTAAAATCTTACACAGTGTGACTTAGGTAAAGGCTTCCAAAACAGTTTTCTGCTCATTCAGGTCTGTCTATGCACTCGCTATACAGAGCTTTGTGGTGGTGATTTCAGTGTTCACACACAAGTTAGTTGTTCTCGTGTGCAACAATTGCAAGACATTGTCAATAATGAACCTGTTTTTGGTGACATCTTCCTTTCTTAACCCATATTATTTTCTATACAACTGACGAGTAGCACGTTTGTGGCCAAAACGAACATTCTGATCAGTATTGAGATCAATCACAAGTGGGCTATTTATAACCATTATTAATTAATTTTGGAGGCAAAATATCTCGATTGCACTTTCACACTTAAATAAACAGGGCACTGCTTTGACTCCCATGTTGAGCTACATTCCTGCTAATGTACAAATCTACAATAAAAAATGTCCCAAATGCCTCACTTGCTAATCATGTGCTTATTCCTAATCAGTATAGTTTACTGATGTTCCCTGAACGCCTCACCTGCAGGCTACTGTAGAGTTTAGCTCATCAGGTGTGCACAGAGAAGCTTCTAGTCTCCACCTATTTATTGCAGCGCTCAGCGCAGACAGATGCCCGACCAAAAATGAATTAAAAAGGAGTAAAAAAAAAAGGCGTTCGAATGTTAGATTTACTCAAGTTCGAACTGAGTGATTTCATCTCCATGGGCCACTTTCTGTTAGTGGAGTTTTTAAAGTGCGGAGCATTTAAACGTTTTATTGCAATCAGTCATGTTCATTTAATCCTGGGAAGCCAAAATGATGATCATAATTAATATTTGATTAAAGTGCAGCCCAATAACTGAGGTTGCATTTCTTTTTACGCAACCAAATCTTCCTTTTTAATGTGTTACTCCAGTTTCTCTTTCAAGCTTTTTTGTGCACATGTGGAGCTGCATATCTTACAGCTAACGTTACACACAAACACACACACCAAAAAACTGTGTAACCAAGAAGCGGTAAATTGGAGTAAATTATGTTCTATCAGACAGACTTCTTTTGTAGATTAGTCAAGGGAAATCTTTTTTGTATCAAGCAGCCAAAAAAAAAAAAAAACCTGAAGCTTGATGTGTGTGAGTTAATTTGCCTCACTCAGTGTTGTGTGATTGTTACACATGTGCACGTTGCAGTGTTGATGCTGAGACAATACATCATGGAGAAGTCAGTTTTTGCAGGTATCTCTGACTGTGGAGCTGCATGTTTCTGACCTGTGGCTACTCATTCCTGTGTGTTTTTTGTTCTCTTGTGATCTCTGTTTCTCTCTGCTATCCTTTTTTTCCTTCCCCCCTTAACCCCAAGTGGTCGAAGCAGATGAGCGACTCCCTGAGCCGGGTTCTGCCGGAGGTTTGTTCATGTTAAAGGGAGTTTTCTCTGCCCACGGTCCTCAGTGTTGCTTTCAGGTAAATGCTGACATCAGTGAGCTAACATATGTGCACAGACACGTATAATCTTTACCATGTTCTGTTTACTAGAGTTTTTAATGTCCACTGCACTGTTTTATTGTCAATGGCACCAAAGATACAATTTTTTGTATTTTGCATCTGAGACAGTCAACATTCAAAACATTAATTTCACAGCATATGTGAAAAAAACATGTGACCTGCATTAGCGCCACAGATCAGCAGATCACCAACATTCTCCAACGTTTTGTGCCAATTTATACAAAAGTTGAACTGCTGGACTGACCGAGTGCTGACTGATATTACTGCCCCCAGAGCTAAAAACAGAATATTGAGCAAAAGACGGAGACACATAAAAGAAGATAATTGCGGGAGATGATAGGCCCACACCAATTACAGAGCCAAATGAAGTGCACTTCAGGCTAAGGTAACGTCTCTTTTACTTTCCTTCTGATTCTTTTTCCATTCAGCCTTCTTTTTCTGTTTTCTGTCCTTTCCTTACCCTTTTCCCCGCTCCTCTTTTCTTCTATTGCCATCTATTACTATTAATAGCATAAAAAAAACTATTACCTTTCTTCCTTTCTTGTCCTCTCTCTCACCCTCTCATTTTTTAGTCTTTACTATTTTTAATCCCGTCGCTCGCCTATCCTTCCACCTCCCTCTCCCGCCGTCTGCTCCCTCTCTTCAGCCACCTCACTTCAAGGGCTGTAGGTAAATGAATTGATCTCGTATGGAAGCCAATCAAAGGCGAGCATCCTCTTGGCAACCGCTATCACTTTGGCACGGCATCACTTACGCCTCGGAAAAAAAAAAAAAGAAGAAGAAAAAACTTGAAGCTACAAATTCAGTAGGCTAAGTGAATTAGTTGTGTAATGTGTTTGATGGATGTAGGAGCATGAGGTTTCTCTGTTCGGGGGAGGAGACGTGTGGCGAGCCGTCTGCAGTGGAGGGAATTAAAAGTTTGCTTCTGTGGCAAATAGACATGAACAGGCAACATGTGCCTGGCTGGATGACAGCACCGTCTCATTGCTCAGTCTGGTGATGCTTCTCGCAGTTAGGATGCGTTCGAGCAGGCCGGGATTCAATCAATGCTGCGGAAAGATTGAGCCTAATGACTGAAATGATGCATTGATGCAATAAAACTTTTGGTAACGGCAAAATAATTTCCTGTTCCGGCTTACATTAGATGATGCCGCACAGGAAACCACGTCTACATGCAATTCCCTCCACGCCACTACAAACACACGGCCAGTCCATCACTCTCATGTAATGAAGACTCACCTCCGCGGTTTTACTGCTGCTGTAAAACGCTAACAACGCCAATGAATTAAACTTTAGAGCTTTTACAACAGACTCCTATGTAGCAAGGTATTTCTGGGGACCTTTAAATCTCATTAAAACTGCCATGCATAAATTACAGTCTCTGTGTGTGTGTGCTTCAGTACAGAAAGAGTATTAAAAAAAAATAAAAATCTGTAATTTTAGGATGTTTTAAAATAGATTTTTCAAAGAGACAAAACAATTCAATAAAATGATAAAATTAGAGTGTGTTTACATGTGTAATGTAAAGTAACATTAAAAACCTGCAACCGTAAACTACCATCACCATATTTTTTTAAGTAAAACTCATTAAAAAAAAAAAAAAATCACATGTTAATTTAACCCATGAAACTGTAAAATGCAAGTTTATTGCTGTAAATATATTACATTTATGTTAAAAAATAAATACACGTTCATGCCAATTAACAAAAAGAAGAAACGTTTCTGTAATTTTAGATGGATTTGTTTGTTAAATGAGCGATATCCAGTATATGTATAGGTGAGGTTTTCACTATGAAAATGTTGAATGAATCTGTATCTTTATATATACACTATTTATATATATTGTAGGTATGTTAATTTTTTTTACACATGTAAATATCCTTTATTAAAAAGCTCAAAAAGCACTTTCATACAAATTTAAGTCTAAAAAAATGTTATTAATTATTTTTTATTTTTAAAGAGATGTTTATTTCACAGTATTATATGGGCACCTGAATATTGCTGTTTTTTTTACACTGTTCTTTTTTTCTTTTTTCTTTTTAAACAGTGCACAGTGCTGAAAATACAAACTTGTCGGATGATTAGGAATCTTCTTAGCAGAAAAAAAAAAGCTAAGCAAAAATAGAGCAACGAAAAAATAGTTTAGTCAAACAGAATCGGGTATCTATCGTTAAAATAAATAAATATATCAAACTTAAGATAATGTGACAATGAGCCGGCCTAGCATTACTGAAAACCACTGTTGCAATGCTATTTTCCAGACTGCACCGGCTCTGGGTTTGACGATGTAGCTTTACACATGCTTCAGAGATGCTCATTATTGTACATTACAGTAGGAATTGATATTTAAATCATTCCTTTTGTCTTTTGGCTTCTGTACACTGGCACTGAGCTGCTCATTATTTTACTTTTTTTTTTGTTTCTGAACAGAGCTGGTGGAAAACTTTTGCTCAGTAGTAAACCCACACATTAAAGAATTTAAGGCATAATTATGTGATATTAGCTGTGATGCAGAAGAACATCTAATACTTGAATAACTGCAGGACGTATTTGCATAGAGGTTCATTACAGGCGTGTATTTTTGCTTACTATGAACTTATATGACAGTTCGTTCATAATTAGTTCATACCATATACAATATCCATATACCATACAATATAATCAAATGATAATGTAGTGCTGTGTCACAGTGCTGGAAATGACAGGTAATTAAGCTTTGCTCACGTTTAATACTTAAATAGAAGATGATTTTCTCTGTTTAAGTATGTTTTTGTTAATTAGTCTAGTGAGATTGCCGACTTTCTCTTGGTTCTCTATTTTCTAAATTGTGGGGAAAAAGTGATTTGAAATAGTTTGATCAGGGTTAGGTGTAACCACGACACTTACTCTATGAAGTAGACTTCTCCTTTCTCAGTGTACGCCATCTCCCAGTTGTCTGGCAGGGGCCCTAGCTCATCGTTCTCCTCCGGTTTGGGCACCGCCATCTTCGGGGACTGTCCTTCGTCTTTGGGTCCCTCGGCCGGGGGCTCCGCTGGGTTGATTTGTGGGACGATGTCCCCCGAAGCGTCTGTGCTCTTATCCTCATGTTCGCTGGACTCTGAGGGGACAAACGGGGCCAGATGAGTCAGGCGTGGCATTATCATCAGAGAGGAGGAGGAGGAGGGAAAGGAGGTGAAGCGAGGAAAAGGAGGAGAGACTGATTGGGTGTCAGGGTTCGGGTGGAAAAAGAAAAAAAAAAAAAAAGCAGGAAGGAGTGATTAGAAGAAGGTGCGAGGAAGTGGTGACTCAAGGGAAAGAGGGGAGTGAGTTGAAAAGAAGAGAGGGAGTGATTGAGGTTAACAAGACAGAAAGACGAATAAAGCAGAGGAGACAATAGAGATTGAAGCAGGCGGTGATGCCCTACTTTGAGTTGTGGCAGCGTGCGAATGTGCTAGAGAGAGAAAAATGGGAGGAAAGAAGAAGAGATGGCAAGTGTGCGCTCTTCCCAGAGGAGAGCTGGTAGAAGGGAAGTGAAGAGGGGACAAATGAAAGCAGGGGATTGAGAGATAATCTATGGGAGGGAAAGAGCGAAGTAGTGATCTGCTTAGATCACACAGCCTGCTGTGCTCTATTGATTCCCCTTCAGCTCTCCTGGTCAGCCCACACTCCGTCCATCTGCAGAGACAAAACTCCTCCTGAGCCGAGAGCAGCAGCCCACTTTAACATCCAGCCATGCCTCAGTGTGCAGCCCAGAGCCTCCGGTTATCGAGTGTCTCGAGACGGCTGACAGGAGAACGCTCCCTCTCCCTGCACTTTCTGTTATAGCTCGCAGGAGTACATTCAGTGCCATCGTTGGGAGGAAAAATTTACATCATAATTGAACACTCAAGTTTTTCCTTGAAACTTTGTGGAACTTTAAAACCAATTCATTGTGAGACCATTCATCCTTACACAAAGCCGCTCAAGAACATTCAAAATGGAGTTTACAGAGTGAAAGTGATGTGTTTTTGCTATCGGGGCCACTAGGGGGTTGGAATAAGCTACCTGAGGAGGTCAAGGCAGGGGGAGAAAAACTTATGAGAAGCCCTGAAAAAAGCTGCTATATGAGGCTTGATGCTTATTGATTAAACTCAGAAAGGACAGCGAATGCCTTTTTTTTTTTTTTCCCCCGGATGTCCTCACCAAGTTGCACTCTTCTCCTCTCAACAACAGAAAATCTGCTGCACAAGCCAACACAGCAAAGCCTCCATTGCTCAACTGTCTCTGTGCTCATAGAGCTGGAGTTAAGCGCAATAGCTGCTATTTGTCTTTGTTTTGGTGCACTCGGAATTAACCCTGCAGAAGAAGCTGTCAGGTCCTGCACACAATGAAAACAGAAAGGCTGAAAGAGACTACTGGGAGGCCATACCCGCAAAGAGTTCCTGCAGTGGAAATGCCACCTTATGACCCTGACATTCTGTTTTGTTGTCCCGGCCTTCTTTCAGAGCTCAAAAAACACATTCAACATGTTTTTTTCCAGCTTAACACATAATGATAACGTCCTTAATTTAACTGTTAAAATGATTGAATACAACTGATTTTTATGTTACATATCTGCAAACGGTGCTGACAAACTCTTACACACCACTATCTATCCCAAACTTGTCTACTTAGATCACTGGTTGCTGAACTTTTCACCCCCTCTGATCTCTAAAACACTACCAGGCCAAAGACTGGAAGCCGCCACTGTCCCCGGAGGTGGTTAAGGCAAATGTAGCACACACACACTAATAGGACTGTGCCATCACAAAACATCTATAATAATATTCTGTATTCATTTAGTATTAGCAGAAGTAATCTCCATGTATAAACTGTTACACTGAGTAAACAAACGGTATGTAGTGGAGTGCCAGTCTATCAAAAACTATTTAGCTGCTATTTTTTTTAATCTTTTGCAACAATTATGGCTAAAAAATGCGATTTGTAGCTGATTTAAATTGGATTTGATTTCTGGAAACACCTTCATTATCAAATATTGAGCACAGTGCATGTAACGAGGTCAGAAATCATCATTATTATAATTACCATTTTACACACAAAGACAAAGTAAAGTCAGTCTAAACCAAACACAAGATAATTTGTCGACTGTATTAGTGCAATGCTTTGCTGTATGTGCCATGTATTTTAATTAGTTTTTCCTAATTACTTTTATTATATTGTTTTTAAGGTTTATCTTCTTTGTATTTTATTTCCTGCAATTAACTTCAGTCTTTTATGACTCTTATCCCCTGAAGCACTTTGTAAACATTATTAAATGTGCCATTTGAAACAAAGATTTACTGTTAAGTATACAATCTGCTCCTCTACGTACGCGTTTCTCTCGCAAATTAGGAATCCTACCTTGTTTGAGCTCCTTGTGGTAGGAAAACCAAAATCTCATCCTTTATCCAACCTTTCTTTCTCAAAACGAAAGCCTTTTTAAATATGTGTAAAACATAGCAGCTGACGAAAAAGAAAATTATTTGCAGGCATCAGCTGGGTTCGCTGCCCGACTCCCTGAGTTTCTGTGCTGCTCTGACTGATGCCGAGCTGTGAAAGACTTTCCTGAGGCCATGAAACAGCTTAGAAAGTCACAGGACCGAAGCGTGGTTTTGGATTTGGAATCACAAAAATCAAACTCATAATGCCTCTTTTATGTTCGTCTTTTCATGTGATCATGGGATACATTCAGCGGGTTTCTGTGTGTGTGAAAGCGTGCATGCATGCTTAAGTGTTTGTTGCACAAAGTCCATGCAGCATAAGACATACATTTAGATGTGTCTTAGCGTCTTATTCATAATGGTGTTATTGAAAGCAAATATGTGCACAGAGAGAAAGGCCTTTCTCTAATATTTTATGAATAAGAACGACCTCTAGAGTTTGGCCTTGCTGTGCACCGTAAATCCCTTTTCTAACAATTTTCTGAATTTACAGAGAGGACAACAATGCATTGCGCAGGGCTGATTCACATAAGAGAGAAAGCACTAAATAAAAATGTCCTTCTTGATTTTAAAACAGCCTGCAGGCTCCTGTTGAACTGGAGAGCAGCGTACTGTATGTGTAAGCCCCCCGGCTATCTGCTCTGAAACAGTGTTTATTAATGATGCTTAATGAATGATGGTGAATTCTGGAGAGCAACAGCACGAAGGCTTTAATCACGGAACCGCCTGGACTGTAGAGATAATCGCTGTGAATTAGAATTCACAGTTTATATATCATATCATTAAATTGCATATAAATGTATTTGTGTACCCAATTAGAAAGAGATAATCTGCCATAAAATCATTTTCCAAGAAAACCATGTAAAAGCAATCAGTTTCTGCCTCTGTTGCCGGGCAACCACTCTGGAAGAGACTCTTGCTGTAACTTAAACAAGACCGTCACCTCCTGCGGATCATGCAGGCCTGACCTCAAACCGAGCTGTCGCGGTGAAGCTTTGGGCTCAAGTGAACTTTGCCTCAGCGTCTGTGGAGGTTGTTGTCGGGGCTGACCTGGGGTGACAGCAACACCGTTGCCATTGACGATGGGTCTCTCCTCCTCCTCCTCCTCAGGGGGCTCGATGCTGGCTTTTTCCATGTTGCTGACCGACTTGTTGCGTTTCCTCTTGCCCTCGGAGCTGGGTCTGGCGCCCGGCAGCAGCTGGTCCGTTACATTTAGCAGCAGAGCGCTGGGCTCAGCCGGAGGCTTCGGGGTGCCGTAAAAGTTATCTGGAGCACAAAGGAAGAAGAGGACAAAGAAGTTTACACCAAAGCCTAATAATAGGGTGCATTTTTGCATCGTGTGCATATGTTCTAAATCACACTGGTAGCATCGGTGCACCTGAGGCGTGTATGATGAAGCAAGTTGGACATAGCCAGGCTTCTTTTTGTGTGCGTTTTTGTGTGCTCACCAAAAAGCCCAATCAGAGATAATGACAGTTAACAACTTTCTTTGTAAACCAGGTTTTCTTCGAGAAGTCAAGATGTAAAGGCTGTCTAAATGAGAAGCTGTGAGGAAAGTAAACATTTGCAAAGAGTGCAAAAAGCACTGTTGCTGCAAAGGATGCAATGGTGGTGCAAAACTGTGAAAAGTATAAGTTTATATGTATATTTAAACTCAGTGCACCCTTAAAATAAACACTTTTTTCTACCGGCACATTAAAACTCTCAAACTTGGTTCATTTAAACACAACAAGAGCATTTGGAAATCACTTTAGTTTTTGCCCAGATCAAAGTTAAATGAAAGCCATCGATTGAATATTCTGTGTGAAAGTCACCATTAGAGTAATCAATTTTCTAATCTGCCTTCTGTCAGACTTGGCAGCAAATCACTAAATATTGAGACACATTCATGCATTTTCTGCATAATCTCCTACAGCGTGAAGGTTTCCGTGACACAACGGCTGCATGGCGTTGGTGTGGTGGTATTACTAACTGTATTCCTCATTGGAAATATGATCAGCAAAAGAATTATTAAAAGGGTGACGCTTCTCACAACTGATTTAAATCCCAAAGCCTGAACATATTAACCTCCTGAGCAGCAGGTGAGCTGTGCAGCATCAGTTACCATGGCGATCCAGCAGTTTAAAAGAGAGTACCTTAGTGGCTCAGCACACCTCATTAACCAATTAATCTTGCTTCGTAGTGCACCTCGGTTTGGTCAATCAATAATCAGTGTTTGTCAGGAATTTGTTTGTAGCGACATTAATGGTGTGAGGTCCATCAGAACTGCTTATTGCTGTGAACTCTGTTGCAGATAAACAGGAGATTTTAAAATTGTTTTAGCGCTTTAGATTGCTATCCATCTCACAATAGAATCAGGGATCATTCTGAGAGCGAGTGTAGGATAAATGAACATGGCGAGTGCTAAGAATTACCGGTGCTACAAAGCTTGTCAAGTTGTTAAAATGTTAGCATTTAGCTCAAAGTTTAATTTGGCAAAAGCACAGCTTCACAGAGGCGTTACTGCAGCTGTCGACTGTCGATATTTCAGCTTATGACACCCCCAAGAGGCAACAATGACATATGAGATTTTTTAATAAAAGTTGCATTTCCATAAAATTTTAATAAAGTAAAATTGAACTAAAAATAACCCCCCATGCTCATAATGTCCATGTAAATGCAAAGAGACCAAGAAAGAGTCAAAGAGTGAAGAAAAGGAGAGAAAAATACAGCAAAGACGCCCACGGAGGGGAGACAGTAAGGATGAGTGAAACGGGACTAGTGGGCTGAAGGATGATGTGACACCCAGTAACATCCACAGTATGGATGAGGCGGGTTTTTTTGCATTTGACATGCTGCTCCGTGTCAAATCCGGCGAATCCATGAACACACAAGCTGTGAGCTCAGGATCACATCATGTCTCACAATATTATAACGGTTAACTCGGATCTGCACAAAAATAACAAAAAAAAAACAAAGACATCTCGACATGAACACAGAACGCCACGAGCTAATATCAACCACTTTTTGAGAATGCGTGTTGTTGCCAAGTTCATCCACCTTCTCCTCTGCACATCAATCACTTAGCAGACCATGATCGGATATCCCCGGCATATAACCGGGCGTTTGTGCGCGGCTCGGACTGAATAATAACCATATCTCTCTCTCTCAGTTTTGGTCTCTGGTCAGAGCCAGCTACCTGCCTCTGGGAACTGCAGTTTTTCACTTGGCTCTGACCCAGCAGACCCTTCCACAGTCTCCTAAGTTGATTTTGTATTTTACTATCATTCGATTTGAATACTGGCTGCAGTCCAGTGCCTCTGACAGTATCCATCAGTCATTGTGAAACGCTCATAACTTCATGTTTCGGGATTTGGATTTTTTTCCTTAATTTAAGGCGCACTTTTAAGGGTGTACTTTTATGAACCAGGTAGGTAGAAAATGCTGAACACTGCTGCTTGTTCAGTGTATAGATTATGTGGGGTAATTTCTGGAGACAATATCTCAAAACCAGAGTGAATAAAAGTGACTGTGTGCTGTTTTTATGGGTGAACTGACCGTTTAAATCAGAAAGTGACTGTGGCTTAAGGACAGGCTATGACTCTCAGGTTTATAAAACACTTTCAGACCAAGTGAAATGACTCCAGATGACTAAACTGCCTCTTCTAGGGGTTTTCACACAACAAACAGATGTAGGACTGAGACCATGTTAGTCCAGAGTCTGAGAGATGCATCTTTCATTTAAAAGATCAGACAGTACTCGCTGGGAGGCTTCTTCTTCTTCTTTTTTTTTTCTCTTTTTTTTTTTAAATCTGAGAGCGTGAACGAAGCCAAATCAGTTTTCAGAGAAAGACATCAGCCACAGTTTTGTCCTGGAAGGTTTGCCATTAGATTAGTTTATCTCCTCGGCTCCACTCGAGCGTCACCGGTAGAAAGATCATACATGAGAAGGCGACGCGTGCGAAAATCCACAGAGATTATTTTAATGCACCGGGCTCAGGCATTAGATACAAACACAGACACCGGGAGAACACGAAGAATAGTCGGAGAGATTTAAAAAAAACATCAGCTGGTGTCTCCTTCTGCGTTGGGAAGACCTATTGAAACATCATGTTCGCGTTGAGGGAAACATGAAGGCTGCGATGAAAAATAGAGGAGAGTAGTTGTAACAAGATTACGGGGGACTGTCGGGATTACAGCCCCTGCAACCACAGACACAAATCCTGGAGCGTTAACGAGCTGAAGATTTGCCTGCGAGAAGAAAGTCTGCTCCACATGTGAACCTAAATAACCCGCAGGATCACACAAACCTGCGCTTTGAAGTTTGAGCAAGTGGTGGAATTGCTGTCACATCTGACAGCCGTGCTGATTTCAGTCGTATGTGCCGATAAAACCGTCGTAAAAACGGGGAGTCTCAATTAACGGAGTCTGCAAACTAATTCTTGGAAAGATGAAACCTTCAAAGGAAGTGCCAAAGCATGGCTCCAAGAGCATTAACAAGCATTTAGGGTCATGAGTTATTTTTCGATAGAGGAGCAAAATTATGGAATCACAGGAGTGCCATAATAAAAAAAAAATCTGTTAAAAAATACGGAAATAAATGTGTAAATATACAGAGGAATAAATAAAAGACTAAATAAAAAAGAAAAGGAAATATAAAGGTGAATTTTGTCTTTTTTTTTTTTCCTTTTTGTATTATTATTCCTCTTTATATTTACAAATTTCTCTCCTTATTTTTTAATAAATGTATTCTATATTATGGCACTCCTGTGATTCCATACACAGCAGTAGTTATTTCGGGCTGAGGGCACAAGTCAAAGTCTTTTCTACACTGACAAGTGCAGTCCAACTGATACATAACCGAAGCTGAAGCTGAGATTAATATTGCAAAGTCTTAAGTTTTTGCACTGAACTGTCTTGTTGCTAATCAGCCAACATTTACACAGATATCAACACACCTGCTATGAGCAAATACTGGCTGATATATCGGTCTGCCTCACAGATCCATTGGGCTTTTTAGGAAATAGCTGACTTGGGTTTTAGTGGAGAAGGAAAAAAAAAAAAAGACGAGCAAACTTGAAAGACTTTAAAGAACAGTGCTTCCCAACAGGAGGCGAAGCTGAAGATGATGCTGAGCAGAAATCTGATGACAAGCTGAATTTATACCTCTGTGTTCAGAGGCTGTGCTGTTCCTACAGCTGCTATGTGCTCAGGCTCTGAGGTGATGCTGTAAGCTACGCCGCTGCTGACTTTTGCCTCCTTTAAAATGTAACCACACGAGCAAGGAGTCAGCCCAGATACCATTTAGGCATTAAAAGAACCGCACTCGGCTCCCTCGGCTTCCCCCTTACAGGTTTGTGCTGCCGGTGGAGTTTGGTGAGAGTGAAGACAACATTAAGGAAAGTTAAGGAAGGAGTCTCAGTAGTCGTAACATCTGACAAAGTGATGACACTGCAAATCTTGTGCTCAGCGGTAGTCTCCTGTTCAGCAACAAGATGAAATAACACGATATGCAACTCCAGTACGGTTAACCTTTGTAGCTCACTGACACTTTGTGAATGAAAGAACGGGAACTCGGTTACAGCGGGGGATTGAAATCAATGTGGTTTGTTGAGGGCAGATCCGATCCAGATTACTGATAATCAAGGAGATTGATAAGCAATATTCAGAAATGATATCTATTTGCAGTAAAAATTAAAATGCACTAATAATGAAAACGTCAAAATTTAAAAAGAACAAAACCTTGTTAAAATACTGTTGATTATTTGTGTTTTACACGTGTTCAACTAAAAGACAGCTTCTCAATTTTTATCTTTCAGCGTTTGGCTGTTACTTGTGATGTGTAATCAATAATATAGCGCTCACTGTGGAAAGACAGGGAAAATGTGTGATTACCTCGGGGTTAACCTACAACTTAACATTGTTGAAGTTATTATTTATTTATGTGTAATAAAACATCCTTAACGCTCTGAGCTCCAAAACCCGCCGGCGGGTTTAAAAGGCAACAAAAACCTTCATCAAAAATAAACAGCTTGCACCAATGTCTGTACGGAGCAAAAACAAATCCTCATTGCAACTTAGAGGTCATGACTGACTCAGCTGTGACTATCAGTCAAACGAAAAAAACACATGTTGGCTGAACTGCAGGCAGTGTTTGCACAGAGCAACAGGACACAAATGTGGAAAACATATTGGTAAATGGTCTGCACTCATATCGCGCTTATACCTAAAGCACTTTACAATGTGTTTCTCATTCACCCATTCACACATTCATACATCAATGGCGACAGAGCTGCCATGCAAGGTGCTGCCTGCCATTGGGAGCAACTTCGGAATCAGTGTCTTGCCCAAGGACACTTTGACCGTGGAGGGGCCGGGCATCGAACCACCAGCCTTGCAATTGGAGAACAACTCGCTCTACCACCTGAGCCACAGCTGCCCAGATATTAACAACATAAGTTGTAAAATACCTAAAGTATGTAGAGCTACCATGTTCTCCAGTATTGGTAACACCTGTAGACACTTTGAAAAATGTTGCACATATTGATTCACGTTTATTTAAAAAAAAAAAAAGAATGATCAAAGAAATTCGGTTCAGTTATTCATAACGTAATCGTTACTGCTGACATTAGGGTCATAAAACTGTTCGTCTATCTGACTGGTTTCATATCTAGAGCAATGGCAGCTGAGCCTTATTGTGGCGTTTAGAGTAACAATTCAAAAGAGAAAAAATTGATTTCACAAAATGAATAGCGTAAAGCTCCACTATTGTTAAAACTGACACCAAGGTTGCTGTGTTTGTAAGTTGAATAAGAGAATGTGTGTAATTTAAAGATGGAAAACCTGAAAGTGGGAGTTTAAAGTAAGAAAAAAAATAGTTTGCCTGAGCAGAACAGTGAGACGCCAGGAGTTCATTGTGCCTTTCAAGGTAACTTGTAGTAAGTCTTGAACCTGACAGTTTTCAGTTCTTTGTAAGAACAACTCACACCTCTCTGCTGCTGTAACAGCCAGCTGATCCTCGCTATAACCTTCCCTTTAAATTTCATTCCTTCTTCATTTCTCCCCCTAATTGGCCATTAAATTATTAAAATATATAAAACGCTGAACGATGGCCGAGCGACCGCGCAGAAGAAACTCTAGTCCCCCTTCTCCCCGGTGGAACGCGGCTCGCATCGCCAAAAGGATCCAACATTGCTTCTGGCAACCGACCATTAAATTGGCCATCTGCAATTTCAATCTTTTTCTCCTTCCTGCAATGGCAGCAGCCTGACTGAGGCTGGAGTCAGGTGGGAGAGTAGGAAGTTAGCTGCTATGTGTTATCTATATAATGGCAGGGGTCTCTTGAGAGTTGGAGGTGGCCAGACGGACCACGGGCTGCACTTTGCGAGTACTTTAAAATCCAAGCCTGGGGCCCGTCTGACCACAGGAGAGATTGGATAGAGAGTGTCTGTTTGTTTTGATTAGGCTGCTGAGGAGTCACTGCAGCTCCGGCTCAAGGACTGTGCCAAGAGAAAGCCAGCATTAAAGGTAAAGCATGTGCAAGTGTGTATATATATATGTGTGTGTGTGTGCTGCTTTTTTTTTTCTTCATTCAGAATTTGCAGGAGATTCCTTCCGGCATCCTTCATGACTGATGACGCTCATCTCTGTAGACGCCAAAGATGGATGGATAGAGGCCTGTTTGTGGGTGCAGCGTATGGAGTGGTATCTCAGCATCTATTCAGACTCACTTAGAGAAATGCCACGACGAAACAAACGTGTCTTAAAAATTGAGAAATATCCCGAAGAAGAATGGCCGCAATCACACGCGTTGTTGAGCGTGTCTTGACTAAATCCTTACCTTCATATGTTCCGCTCTCGAGCAGGGCTCCACTTTTCTCCAATTCCATAAACCGGTCAACGGTCACGAAATTATAATCCACCCCTGGGACCTCTCCTTCCTTGGGCTGCCTGGTTGTGCCTGCGGGAGATAAGCGAGAAGAGTTAGAGCTGCCGGAGATTTGAACGCCTCATCACTGCTGAATGAGAGGCAGACTTAAAAAGTAAGAGCGAGGCTTTGTCAGTGTTTTAGGTAAAAAGATCAGAACACGCCGGAGCTCAAACACGCTGACCTCGACCCAGCTGTATTCATTAGGTGCCCTCTTTATTCCTTTGTGTCCTTTTTCCCTCCTGCACAGCTGAGGCTGAATATTTGAGCAGCGTGCTTTCAAGGGTGGGGAGGAGTGGCAAGGTACCATTTCAGGAGCTAAGTGATGCAATTTGGACACCAAGAGGAGAAATCAAGTCAATTTGCATGGAGTTGACAGCGTGTCGAGGACTCCCTGACAGGAACTGCGGTCCTGCCAGCAAAACAGGAGTGACGAAAATTTTTTTTCCCCCGTGTAGCAGCAGCACATTCCGTCACATTCACTGACACCGCGATCGTCTCTGCTTCAGTTCCTAAAAAACAAAGTGTGTCAAAGTGTTTACAGTGTTAAACTGAGGTACAAATGACTTGGTAAATACTTTCTCATAGCTGTGTGCTAATTAGACTTGTTAAAACTGATCCCAGCTGTGATAACACGCAGCACTCTACCCCTGAGGTGCCGAATGGGTTTCCACATCTGAGAGAGCGCTGTTCACACTAAAAGCAGAGCCCGTAAAACACACTTGTTAGACCCTCATTATGCCATATAAAGTATCCATCTGTGTGTTTTAAAGTTAGCAGGGGAACAATGTGCCACTGATCACTCCTGGTAGGTGGTGTCTGGTTGGTTTGACTTTATATAAGGCCAGCTGACATCGTCTCTGCATCGCTACACAAGCGTGGACCAACGCCAAAGAGTCTGTGTTGAGTTTCAGGTTTCCATTTCCATAAACACTGATTATCGCACTTTTAACTGTACAAACAAAGCTACATCAGTGAAATGAGCTGGTCTTAAAACTACCCAGAGGGGAAAACGGGTACATTTAAGAGCCCGGGAGGATGAAATTGTTCAGTTTCTTTGCTTCACTTCAAAAATGAGAAGAAAGAGGGGACGGGATCGGCATGTTCTCTTCATCTTACTGCCCCTAAAGGGTTCTGTATACTTTGTATTAAAGGCTGGGAAACTCTAGAGGTTCTCCAAGCTGCAAGTTGGCAAACATTAACAGGAGGCTTTTAGGGATATTTGCATGATGTTTCTTTTGTACTTGCTATTCCGGTTTGCACAGATGCTAACGTATATATCTTTACAGAGGCATGAATCTTGTTTAAGTGCTCATCAAACTACGTCTAAAACATCCTGCTGCACAGATTTCCGACTTTGAAACAGGCATGACTGTATATCTTTTTCAGCACCTCAGCACCATGGCTACTGGTGCCAGCCTTCTATTTTCACGCATCTGTCTGCTACTTCCATCACCTTTCTCAAACAAGTGCGACGCCACGAACGCCACGAAAGAGCGACTATCTAAACGTGCATACCGTCATCTCCATTTGAAGTGCAGCCATTTGGATCAGATATAAAGAACTTTGCCTTCAGATGTGGCATCATTAAAACTAGTTCATCTCAAGTCTCATATCCACTTCACGAGGGGCACATGAGCTAAATGAGTTGTTTTCTTTTACTTGTGTTTCCAAAGAACATTCTTTACGGGATAATCTTCCTGGCACCTTGTTGATTGAGGCATTAGAGAACTTATGGGGTTAAACAAACACTATCCATCGATTACACGCTTGTGTCGTCCACCTTGCCATCGACTGCTTCTCATTTTAAGTACTCTGAATGCAGAATTGTTTATTTCTAACATCTGAAACTTTTCTTGGATGCTTCCTTCATTTCTCCACTATCTTCCACTAAACTCTGCTTTAACCTGCTCTGTCTCCGTTGCTATGGTTGCCAGCTTTTCAACCTTCCTAAACCATTAGTTGTTCATTAATGTAAAACGGAAAACTACAGGTGCACCAGTGTAGGAATGCTGCCACAGTTATCACGTTAGAAACTACCGCAAAGTACAGAGAGAGTTACCTGGTGGTTCAATCAGCATTGTGTGAAATCCTTTGTTCGGGGTTTGAATGTAATAGATTTTTATGCAAAAGCGCCACGCTCCAGCTTTAAGGCACCGACAGCAAATCCTAGATTCTGTTTCTTCCCCAGTCTCTCTCCAGCCCTATTATCTATAATTTCTCTAATGTTGCTGTCAAATAAAGACATGAAATGCCCGTAAATGTAGATTAATTTAAAAAGTTCAGACAGTTTCTCCAGACGACATCAAACAATGCACTGAGTAGAAAATGAATCCAAAATAGGCCATTAGGGGACGCGTCAAACCTCAATTCTTTCTTGTTAATATGTTGATTAATTTGCACTCAAATGGAGAAACTTAACCCAGACGAGAAAAGCTTGGCGCTCTGATCGTATGATGGAGACTGCAGCAGCTTGTTGTTCATGTAAAAAAAAAAAAAGCCATTTTATTTCTCGAGCACAGGATCCTGACACGACTATCGCATGAAACAAAAGTGGCACCCTGCACGCCATTTTTCAGATACACAGAAATTCACTGTCAACAATCTTCAAAGCTCAAACATTGAACTGAAACCTGCTGACAGAGTAATTTGTAAAAGCTTATAAGAGCAAATGAGCAGCGGGGAACACCGTAGTTTGCTGGAACAACAGTTGTGTCGAACATATTTATTTGTGTGTGTGTGTGTGTGTGTGTGTGTGTTTGTTTCGCACCTCCAGAGGAGAGCTTCTTGATTGTGTCTGTCTGCACGGGGGCTTGTGTACCCGTCAGATTAGCCTCCCTCAGAGGCAGCGCGACTGACTGAGCAGCGCAGACACACACATTTCAAAGAGGACCTTTGATGTTGCTGAACTATATTTAGCAGCATCTTCTGGTGGGGACTTCTCTAGGGTGACAATTTCTAAAAGAAGGCAACCACAATGCCTCTCGATTTTCAATCCTTTGTATGTGGGTCATGATCCTGTAGTGCAAAAAAACACAGAGCAAACTCTCAGAAGTACAAAATGCTTCTTTTAAGGAAGATATATAATCAATGCCTACAATACCTTAATTACATAAGATTGAGATTAAACACTGTGTCGATCATTTTGTCACTTTACCAAAGCGTGAATTCTCAAATCCCCTCAGGTGTGTTTCTGGGCCAATTCAGGAGTGAGGGAAGCTCTCGCTAAAAATAGCTGTATGCAAAAATGTGGGCACAAACAAGACACACATCCCCTTCAGCAAACACATGTTAGAACTGTGCACAAATTTTGAAGTTATAAACTGTGGCATGAGGAAAACTTTGGACACCTTTCTACTTGTAAAGTCTCAGAAGTTCATTGGCACTTCAAAAATCAACTAAATGTGCAGCTTGTCCAAACTTTTGTATACAACTGTATTGTTTTTTTTTTTTTAGCACAGACATCCTCTCTATCTGCCAAGTTCCCGTTCAGTTGGGATGCAGGATAAAACAGAAATAAACAAAGAGAGATAGCCCTCGCCAGATAACCTAGATCTTCCTCAGCGATAAGCCAGATTTACTGGAGGTTATGGCCTCGAGCCTGCGCATGCTGGAGCTGAAGAGAACCCCCCTCCTCCAAAACGGAAACGCACATCAAGGCTGCAGAGACGCCACGTCGAGACGACAAAGACTTCAAACTGGTGATGGACGCTGTTTTTGCCGAAGACATCGGTTAATAATTCTCTCATTTTTTAGTAACACTAGATCTAAAATACTTTGATGTAGACATCAAAGAAAATAAACACGACGGCTTCAACACCAGCAGATCCTCTGATATTTCTAACATATTGGAGTGGAGTTAGCAGAGTGGGCTGGAGGCAACAGCGAATACCAGATTGTACCAGCTGATCGATCAGCTGCAAGACTTAACTCAACCCAGTGCTCTTAGTTGAAAAGTATGTGAACAGATGAGGCAGAAGATGAGAGACATTCAGAAAATAAGATTTGCTGTCGCACCTTTGACTGTTTAATGAGATGGAGTTACGGGTGTGTTTGATGACACGGGCTGCATAAAAGAAGTACACCTCCCTACTGTCTCATGTCAGTGGCAGTTGATAAAAGGTGTCTTCTGTCTTAGCTAACTACCTAAGGCTCAATCGTAAAGCTAATCTAGGATTTTCAAATGCTAACACAGGCCAGGAGCTGAATGTACGTCAGCAGAGACTCCTAACAATCTGGAGCAGCAAGACTCTGATGACACAGTTACAACAACATTCAAACTTAGGTGATGAAGTGTACCTGCCACACTCATATTGTAGTAAAGACTGACAGATGACCTGGACTGATAAAGTTGCTGCAACAGTATTTACGGACATCTGTTGCAGCTGTTTCCATCAGCTGGTAGTAGTTGCTCCATCATGTAGGTCAGATGTGACTGTATGGATTTAACAGTTCATTAACTGGAGAAGACTGCAGTTTGTTCATTGGGCCAATCATTGAACAGCAATTTCTAGTAAATTCAACACTCAAGTGACTTCTGAATTCGTAATGCAACCGTGACAATTTCACAAAAAACGTTAAGTGTCAGTGGTTAAAAACAGACAAATATCCACTTTATTCCATTTAACGATCAACTGATTATTGACTGCTGACATGGCTGATGATCAGTTGAGGAAACTGTTTAAAATGTGCATCCCCAGCCTGAATATATTCTGCTACAGCCATTGAATGTATTCACACTAATTAGTTACTTCTCCTGGAAATAGTTTTCAGTGACAGGTTCCACCATCCTCACACTGGATTCAAACACATCCACAGCATGCATATGCACAAGAGATATGCAGGAAACAACAAGAGCCAACACATGCCCACAATGCAAAGCACCTTCTTTGTGCATATTTCATGTCTCGGGCAATTTGGAGAGGAAATGTATTTGCATTGGTACAAGCAGTCATTTACAATTATTTATAAAGCGCACACAGTGTTTATCAGAAAATACGATGCTCAAAGCACGCTTCATGCCCCCAGTTGCT